ACCCCAAACAGGATAAACGCAGAGAAATCCATACCAAGACACATCGTAATCAAACTTTTGAAAACTAAAGATGGGAAACTTGAGGGCAGGAAGAGAGAAATAACACGTTACCTATAAGGAGAAAAACAGTTCAAATGTCAGTGGATTTTCCAGAAACCACGGAGGCCAGAAGGAAGTGGCACAACATATTTCAAATGCTGAAAGGAGAGAACTGTCAACCCTGAATGCTGCATCTGGTGAAAATATCCTTCAGAAATAAGAGGGAATCAAGACATTTTCAGATAAAGGAAAGCTAAGAGAATTTGTCCAGCAGACCCACTTTCAAAGAATGTTAAAGGAATTTCTCAATACGGAAAGGAAATGATAGAAGAAATCGTGGAATGTCAACAAGGAAGAAAAGAACAGAGTAAGTGAAAATATGAGTAAATACAATAGGCCAGGTGTGGTGGCTCACGCCCGTAATCCTAGCACTCTGGGAGGCCGAGGCGGGAGGATCGTTTGAGATCAGGAGTTCAAGACTAGCCTGAGCAAGAGCGAGACCCCGTCTCTACTAAAAATAGAAAGAAATTAGCCGGACAACTAAAAATACATAGAAAAAATTAGCCGGGCATGGTGGCGCGCCTGTAGTCCCAGCTACTTGGGAGGCTGAGGCAGGAGGATCGCTTGAGCCCAGGAGTTTGAGGTTGCTGTGAGCTAGGCTGATGCCACGGCACTCTAGACCGGGCAACAGAGTGAGACTCTGTCTCAAAAAAAAAAGAAAGAAAGAAAGAAAGAAAATATGAGTAAATATTTTCCTTCTCTTCAGTTGTATAAATTATGTTTGATGGTTGAAGCAATAAGTCTGATGTGGATGTCAACGTACATACATGAGGAAATATTTAAGATAACTATACTAAAAATGGAGGAGACTACTCTTTCCTCAGCCTGGTAAAATGATGACACCAGGCGGGTGCAGTGGCTCACACCTATAATCCTAGCACTTTGGAAGGCCAAGGTGGGAGGATTGTTTGAGGCCAGGAGTTTGAGGTTGCAATGAGCTATGATGATACCACTGCACTTGAGCCCAGGCAACAGAGTGAGACGCTGTCTGAGAAAAAAAAAAATTGACACCAGTAGATCTTTGTGGCAATGAAGTAGTTCTGTATCTTGATTGCAGTGGTTGTTACAGGAATCTTCACCTGTGATAAAATGGCATACAACTATACACACATGGTATCAATGTCAATTTCCTGGTTTTGATATTGTACTATAATTCTGTAAGATGTAATCACTGGGGGAAACTGGGTTAGGGCACACAGGCCCTCTCTGTACTATCTACACCACTTCCTGTAAATCTATAATTATTTCAAAATAAAAAGTTTTTTTTAAAAGATTGGGACTGTTCTAGATTAAAAATGGCTGAAGACATAGATGCAATGTGAGAACCTTGATTGGATTCTGATTTTTAAAAATATAAAAGGCAAATTTGGTGAACTTTGAACATAGACTGGACATTAGATGATATTAGTTGATATGAAATTATTGTTACTTTCCTTAGATGTCAACAATATTGTGGTTACATGGGAGAATATCTTTATTGCCAAGAGATGCATGCTAAAGTATTTCGAGGTAAGTATAAGAAACTGACAAATGATTCATTAAAAGGTATAGATAGATAAAGCAAATATAACAAAACATTACCAATTATTGACTCAGTAAGGAAGACGTACAATGGTGTTCGTTGTACTATTTGAACATTTTTCTGTTTGTAAATTTTCATTTTTAAAAAAGTTGGAGAGGCTACGTGGAGGATAGGTATGTGATAAAGCAAGTACAGCAAAATGTTAATGAGAATCCTAGGTGGTGGGTAATTGCGTGTTCACTGTAAAATTCTTTCAATTTTTCTGTACGTTTGAAGATTTTCATTATTAAAATGTGGGGGTAAAATTACTTGAGGAAAAAATATCACAACTATCCTCCCCAATCCATCTTACTGTGCTCTGCTTTTTCTTTTGTCCACAGCACTTATCACCACACATATAGCAGGTCCTTGAATAATGGTGTTTTGTTCAACATCATTTTGTTATAATGTTGACGAGAAAAAAATCAGTTTCCAGCTGGGGCCACTCTCTGTGTGGCGTTTGCATGTTCTCCCCATATATGCGTGGTTTTTCTCCAGGCCCTCCAGTCTCCTCCCACATCCCGAAGATGTGCACATTGGATGAATCGGCGTGTCTAAATTGTCCCAGTATGAATGAATGTGCGTGCGCCCTGCGATAGAATGACATCCTGTCCAGAATTGGTTCCTGCCTTGCGCCCTGAGCCACCAAGATAGGCTCTGGCCACGCACAACCCTGAACTGAAATAAGCAAGTTGGAAAATTAATGAATAAATGAATGCAAATTATTGTAAAATAAAAATTTGTAAAGTAGCTGATAATCGTACAAATGCACGACAATAAATGATGAGGTATGAAAGTGCTCAGCAAGCCTGCCATGTTTGTTATTGCTTGTTTTTGAACTGCGTGGTGGTAGGAGGTGTTCCTTACAATTTTCATTTTGCAAACCTTTATTCCTCGATTTAGCCCACCACCACACCACTACAACCACTGATTCACCAAAAATTGGGTAAATAATTATCTTACTTGTTTTGATTAATCTTTCTGAAATGTATATATAGCTCACATTTCAGTGTTTAATATTAGAAGTATTTTGAGTCTTTATGTAGAAGTTTAGTGATATTTTTGTGACCAGAAATATGCCATAGGAACTCAGCTCTTGTTTGTATTAATTAGCCTATGCTAAAATTGGTTTTGTTATACGTCATTTTGCTTGAAGTCGTAGTTTCCAAGAACCTACTGACAATGTTAAGTGAGAACTTACTATGCTATACGATCCATTTATTTATTGTTCTTTTTTTTTTTTTTGAGACAGGATCTCGCTTTTGTCTCCCAAGCTGGAGTACAGTGGTGAAATCATAGGTCACTGCAGCCTCACACTCCTGGATTCAAGTGATCCTCCCGCTAGAACTACAGGCGTGCAATGCACGACTAATTTTGAATTTTTGTTTTTTAGAGAAAAGATCTCACTATGTTGCCCAGGCTGGTCTTGAACTCCTGGCCTCAAGTGATCCTCCCACCTCGGACTCCCAAAACACTGCCATCAAAGTCATGAGCCACTGTGCTTATTTTAATCTGTGTCTTCTTACTAGGATGTAAGCTCCCCAAGGACAGGGATTTGTTCCGTTGGTTTTGTTCTGTTTACTGCTATTACCTCAAATCCTGGAACAGTGTCTGGCACATAGTGAGTGCTCCATGAATATTCGTTGAATTAAGAATGAATCTCTGGGCTGAGCGCGGTGGCTCACACCTGTAATCCTAGCACTCTGGGAGGCCGAGGCGGGAGGATTGCTTGAGCTCAGGAGTTCGAGACCAGCTTGAGCAAGAGTGAGACCCCATCTCTCCTAAAAATAGAAAAAAAAATTAGCCGGACAACTGAAAATAGAAAAAATTAGATGGGTGTGGTGGCATGTGCCTGTAGTCCCAGCTACTCGGGAGGCTGAGGCAAAAGGATTGCTTAAGCCCAGGAGTTTGAGGTTTCTGTGAGCTAGGCTGACACCACGGCACTCTAGCGTGGGGAACAGAGCAAGACTCTGTCTCAAGAAAAGAAAAAAAAAGGATGAATCTCTGTATCCCTAGTACCTAGGTCAAAATCTTGCACAGAGTAGGTGCTCAATGAATGTTTATTGAATTGGACTAAGCTCTAAGTTCTGCAGGAGAACTTAGAATAGACCTGTTGTACTATAGTGGTTCAGAGCATGGACTCTGGAGTCAAATGGCCAGGATTTGTATCCTGATTCTGTCACTTCCAGCGATGTTACCTAGCTGTGTTAACATTTCTGAGCCTCGATTTCTCATTGGTACAATTCAGATGATAATACCACCTTAGTAGGGTTTTTATTTGCATGTAAAGCACTTAGGACTTGTAAAGACTCAATAATTGGTAGCCAAAGACAAAACAAGAGCAACAGAAAGAGTCTTTCTGGCATGTCATCCTTCCTCCGTCCCCCAGCAGGCTGAGCAGGAGAGACTAAGAAGATGTCCTTGGACAGGTACTCCCAAGTTGTACTCCAGACCCACGGAATGGAGTCTCTCACTTCAGATCTTTCTTACCTTTCCACCTGTCCTGGACTGCTTTTCCTCTTGGCATCCTGAAGCTCCTTCCCCCATCATAACCATGCAAAGGTGGAATCGAGGAGATAGGGGCTTATGGGCCAGGGACAAGGATTTAGAGCTTTCTGTTCATCCCTGTTTTAGGGTTGAGTCCCTCGCTGGTAATGGTAGAAGGTCAAGTGTGAGGTCTCAGTAATTCCAGGGCCTAGAGGCTGAGAGAACAATAGTCCTGTGGAGGAGGCATTGACAGGAGAGTGGGCCTCCTATGCTGCCCTCTTCCTTGGTTCCTTGTAAGAGACAGCACCTCCCACCACCCTGCTCCAACATCCCTTTGGTCCGTTCTGCTTCCTCGTCTTCACTTCTGGTGGCCCCAGCTCAGAGCAAGCCTGGGGACCCATTGAGCATCTCCCTGCAACTCCCTCTTGGAAGTGGGGTGGGGTGGAGTGGGCGGAGGACAGGCTGAAACTGGGGACATAGGGGCACGAGATCAGGTGCCTGAGCTCTCCCGTGGCCCAAGACCTCTGACTTCACCCTAAGGTCGGTGGTACCCCAGAGATCCTCGGAGCTGGGGCTGAGCCTGGGGGCGCCACTGCCTCTGTTCCTTTAAGGAGCCGCTGTTTAGCATTCCTGCCGCTGCCGCTGCCGCTGCCTGGCTCTGCGCGCTGATTGGCTGGAATCAACTGAGAAGGGAGCCAGGGAGAGATGCTCTTGACTCCACTCAGATCCATCCTGGGGACCAGAGCAGAAGCGGTCCTCGCAGCACCCAGCCTCTGCCTGGGCTCCCGCTTCTTCTTAGCCGCTGGGCCTTGGCCCAGGAGCCACGACGGGCGACACGGAGCCGCCAGTGCTGGAGGGGGAGCCGTGGGTGCGGGGCAGCGTGGGGGCAGAGGCCCCGGGACGCCCGCCCGGCCCCAGGCCCCGCTCCGCCCGGGCGCCCCCACGGGTGCCCCCCCCTTCCTGGTCCGAGCAGTGTGAGTGTGCCCGGGAGCCCAGCGGCGGCGGTGGCAGTGGCGGCGGCGGCGGCGGCGGCGGCGTGGAAACCGGCGTGGGCTGGGGGGTCCGAGCCGCGGGGGGCAGTGCCATGCACAAGCACCAGCACTGCTGTAAGTGCCCTGAGTGCTATGAGGTGACTCGCCTGGCCGCCCTGCGGCGCCTCGAGCCTCCGGGCTATGGGGACTGGCAGGTGCCTGACCCCTACGGGCCAAGTGGGGGCAATGGGGCCAGCACGGGTTATGGGGGCTACAGCTCGCAGACCTTGCCCTCGCAGGCGGGGGCCACCCCCACCCCTCGCACCAAGGCCAAGCTCATCCCCACGGGCCGGGATGTGGGGCCGGTGCCCCCCAAGCCAATCCCAGGCAAGAGCACCCCCAAACTCAACGGCAGCGGCCCCAGCTGGTGGCCTGAGTGCACCTGTACCAACCGCGACTGGTATGAGCAGGTATGGACCAGCAGGGGGGTGGGGGCGGGGGCAGTGGTGGGGCAACCCGGGGGGCTGGAGAGTGGGGGCCTAGAGGCCCGGGGTGCAGCAGGGGTTGCTGGGGCTCCAAGCTGGTGGACCCAGAGCCCTAGCATTGCAGCTGGGTGAAAGGAGGTGGTTGGAAATGTGTGGTTCCCCGTGTGTGTCTGTCTGGGGGTCTCCACTTGGAGGGGATTGGAAGGAGCTGTGTGTGTTGGGGGGCGAAGGTATGGCGGAGAGGCACATTTTCCTGTGCAGGGGAATTGGGTCTGTCTCGGTGTGGGGGTTTGGCAATGTCTCTGTGTCTGGCAGGGGGCGGGAGGTTCTGCGGGGGCTGTGTGTGGTGTGTGTCTCCACAGGAGAGGAGGAGGGGGCATGGTGCTCTGCGTAGGGGGACATGTGTGTGTGTGTGTGTATGTGTGTGGAGGAAGGCGATGGAGCGCCTGTGAATCTGTGCAGAGGAGTCCATGTGCCTGGTTTGCTGAGCTCCATCCCCCGATGCCATGAGTCCCTCTCCCTGCCAGTCCCTTTGTGTGTGGCTGTGCACATGGACGTGCGGGCTGTCTCTCCGAACATGCAGGTGTCTCTGTAGATAAGGCTGCAGGGATTGCTGTGTTTGTCTGTGTGTGTGGCTACATGTGTGTGTGTGTGAGCATGTGGCTGTGTGTGCGTGTGTGTGTGTGTGTGTGTGTGTGTGTGTGTGTGCGTGTCCCTGGTGAGAGGCGCTTGACAGGCAAGGGAGGGGAGGGGGAGGAGGTAAGAGACACGTCCCAAGCAAGGCTGAGAGGCTGCTGAGAAGGACCGACTCTTTTGTCCAAGCAGCTCTGAAGTGTGTGTGCTGGGGTGGGGGTGTGGGGGTTTGAAGCAACCTTCCTCGCTTCAGAGCAGGCATGATGCCTGGAGCCAGGCAAGGGGCAGCTGCCCCGGTGCGGGGACTAGCCCCAGTAGGGCATGTCCCTCTTGGGTACCCCCAGATGTGAGAGAGCTTAGCCCCCCAGCCCTGACTTGGCACAGCTTGGGAGCCCCTGGGTGCCGGGCACAACTCCGGCTTCCACTCCCAGCCTAAACTGCCAGCTTAGAAAATGGAAGGAGCATCTGTGGGAGAAGCAGCAAAATGGAGGCTGGGCCGGCAGAGCCAGGTCCCTGGCACGCAAGGCGGAAGGCCTGTCTGGTTATCCGACTCCGCAGCTCCCAGGGTGGGGAGAGAGGAAGAGGAGGCTTTGCTGTCGAGGGCATGTGCTGGCTGGCCTAAGCTGGTGACCATTCTGGCTGCCTCTGTCCTCCTCTGGGGATAGGATGTGCTCTCAGAAGCATAGATGGGGACTTCCTGGGGAGAGGAGCCCTTGGTTTTGGCCTTCTGTCTGTCCACACTTACTGCTTCCCCTGTCCCTTGCCTTGGCCCTTTGCCCTCTCCAGTGAGTCCCCTCTTTCCTTTGCCCCTTTGCCCTGGGGCCCTTCCCTTGCAAATACCCTCTCGTGCTTGTCCTGCCCAGTTGGGAGACAGGTGCCAATCCCAGGGCTGAGCCAGTCGGCCAAGGTTTCTTTGCCAGGGCTGATCCCTGGATGGCTCCTGGCCCTAGCAGCAAAGTCCCTGTGTAGGGGTGGGGTAGGGGCTTGAGGGTAGACCACTGGGAGTCAGAAGTCTCTGGATACTACTTGAGCTGGGCTTGCGGCATGGCTTGTCACATGTGGGCACACATGGTACACCGGATACATACAAGAGCCACATGGGTGTCCTTTTGACTGTGTGTCTGTTGCATGGCACTTAAGGGAGCTGTGTTGGCTTCGGGTCTGTGAAGAGCCACCAGTTCTTCCTCCTGGGATCAGGAACCAGGGTGAGGCTGCAGCTGGAGTCCTCCCACCAACTTCCAGGGCTGCAGGGCAGGAAGTCCTGGGGCCAAACCCAGAAATGGTGGAAGCATGACTAACCAGTCGTCTCCCCCTCTCCTCCACTCTGCTTCTGGAAGCCAAAGCTGTGTGGGGTGGAGACGGGATGGGGGAAGCAGAGCAGGGCGTGTGGAGGAGCCCCCACCCTGGGTTTCCAGCTTTCCTCTTCTGAGGAGGAGGCCAGGGCTCAGGAGAGGGACAACACAGCCAGAGAAAGGTTGGGGAGAGGTGCCAGGATGGCTGGGGAGAGAGGCAAAAGGGCTCCTCCATTTTTGGGGATGAGCGTGGGAGCCAGGGGCAGGTGCTACTTGTCTGTCCAGAATCACATTTTTACTTGACAGACGGACACAAGTACGTCCTGTCTGGGAGGCTACATCTGCAGTTTGGTCAAACCAACCCTGTGTTTCTGACCCCTCCCTTCCCGCTCCTCCCGTGGCTACTGCGTCGAGGACCACGGACTCTGCTGCCAATCAGTTATGGGTCATTGACTTTTCCCTCATAAGGAATCTTATCCACCCTGCTCCTGTCCCACCCCTGGCTTTGCCTCTGACTCCTGACCAGATCCCACCCTGGCCCTTTCTTCTGGGAAACACAAAGGGTTCAGGATCAAAAGTCCCTTGGTAGAAAATGAATTAGTACTTTGATTCCTTCTGCCTATTTGAGGAATTGGGTACCTGGAGCCACAGAAGAAGGTATAGAATGAGGGTTCATGAGGTACTCTGAAGAGTACAACTCCCCTTTTTCCCATGAGCTCTGCTGGGGGAAGGGAAAAGTGACCAAAACATCAGTGGCCTTGACAGCTTGCTGTAAACAAAAGAGCACTTAGAGATCGAGGTTCTAGCCCTTGCTCTGCCACTAACTCTCAGTGTGCCCTTAGGCACATCCCATGTCCTCTCTGGGCCTCAGTGTTACCATCTGTCACATGAATGGAGTTGGACAAGATGATGTCTGCTGTACTTCCAGCTCTCACGTGGTGGGAGTCTATGATCCCCAAGTCCGGGAGAGCTGTGGTTCAGAAGGGGAGGGGTTTCCTGTCCAGGCCACTGGGTACCCCCTATGGATGCTGGGTGTGGCATGGTTTGCCTGCCATGCTCCATCTCTGCCATCCCCTTAGGCCATCTCTGCACGCCTCCTAGTGAACTCTGAGGCCCTGGAGCCCAGCCTCTCGGTGAGTGCACCACTGGCTGGCTCAGTCTCAGACAACTGATTTGGGCTAAATGAGCGGCTGGGTTTGCCCTGACTTGGTTGGAAACAAGGGGAAGGGAGCAGCCTCCTTGGGTTCAGCCTGCCCTCATCTGTGGCCAAGAGGTACCCGTGGGTGTACTTGGGCTCTCCTACCTTGTGGGAGTGAGGGAGGAGGCGGGCTGACCGGGGGGGCAGATAGCTGGGAGGGCAAGAGGCGCTGAGGGAATTGCCTGTGTCCTCTCCTAGGTGAATGGCAGCGACGGAATGTTCAAATATGAGGAGATAGTGCTTGAGCGGGTGAGTGTGCCTGTGGGGAGGGATGAAATGGGTGGAGAGGGCTGGAGCCAGGAGAGGGGAGGGCCCTGGACCGTGGTTTCAAGACACATGGGAGGACGCGTACTGAGAGGATGGGGAGATAGCAGCCCTCATCGGCAGCTTCACTGCATCGATCAATCAACCCACTAACGAATGTTAATTGACCTTGCTCACTGAGGCCTGGGAATTGTGGAAGGGATGGGTTTGCTGAGGCCTCCCTGCCAGAATGGTCAGCACAGGTTGGGAAACTGCCAGGTTTCTGACAAATGTGCCCTGCCTGCCATGGCCCCTTTCGAGGCCTGGAGAACTTGCTCTGGGACTTAGAGGGAGATGGGGGACCCAGAACCCTTCTTCGTACCCTCAGAGTGAACAGACTGTGCCCTTCCACCCCCTTCTGCAGGGCAACTCTGGCCTAGGCTTCAGTATTGCAGGTGGCATCGACAATCCCCACGTCCCTGATGACCCTGGCATCTTTATAACCAAGATCATCCCTGGTGGAGCAGCTGCCATGGATGGGAGGCTGGGGTGAGATGGCCTGGAAGCAGGGTTGTGGGTGGCATGGGCAGGATGGAGATGAGGGGCGGAGGGCCAGCCTGGCAGGGTGACCCTTCCATTAGATCCGAGAGGGGAAGGGGTAGAGGAGGGAAGAGGAGGGCTGAGGAGGGGAGGAGACAGTGGGGAGGGAGGAGGGGGAGAAAGCGGGAGGGGGTGCAGGGGTGGTGGCGCAGTGTCATGCCTCTCGGGCTTCCCCTGCAGGGTGAATGACTGTGTGCTGCGGGTGAATGAGGTGGACGTGTCGGAGGTGGTGCACAGCCGGGCAGTGGAGGCGCTGAAGGAGGCGGGCCCTGTGGTGCGCTTGGTGGTGCGGAGGCGACAGCCCCCACCCGAGACTATCATGGAGGTCAATCTGCTCAAAGGGCCCAAAGGTGCGGCCCTTCAGGTTCCTGTGCTCTGGCCAGAGCCCCCGGCCCCAGGTCCTAGCTGGCCCCATAGGGAATGGAAGGGAATGGCCTTACTCCGTGCCTTACTGCCCCTGTTCCAGCTCACAGCCTTCTTTCTTGACCCTTACTGACCTCGGGATGGCGGCCTAGTGTTTGGGATCCCTTGGGGAAGCTCCTGTTGGACCAGTGGGTTGGATGGGGGTGGGAGCTTGGATTTGGGATTGACAACACTCTAACCTTTCCATGTGACCCTCTCCCACGCCCTGCTGGCTCCCACCCAGGCCTGGGTTTCAGCATTGCTGGGGGCATTGGCAACCAGCACATCCCAGGAGACAACAGCATCTATATCACCAAGATCATTGAGGGGGGTGCTGCTCAAAAGGATGGACGCCTACAGATTGGGGACCGGCTGCTGGCGGTGAGACAGACTTCACAGGGATACCCAAATGGTAGGGTGGGAAGGAGGAGCTCCAGCACCCTCTCACTCCACCTGAACCCCACTTGGGGATGAGGCGTTATGGAGAATTTAGAGAGTATTGTCTGAGTTGTGTTTACCCAGAAACCAAGACCCTAGTTCTTTCATGGCTGGGGTCCTCTCTCTTGCCCTATCCCTGCCTCCTGCCTCTCCGGTCCTACAGCACTATGCTTGGGCCTTTGTTAGCCCACTTTTGAGTTTCACTGAAAGGGCACCCTTCACCATTCCCTGGAGAGGTCTTCCCTTCTCCCAAGTCCTAACCGGAGGCTTCTCCGCTTCTAGGTGAACAACACCAATCTGCAGGACGTGAGGCATGAGGAAGCTGTGGCCTCGCTGAAGAACACGTCTGATATGGTCTATCTGAAGGTGGCCAAGCCAGGCAGCCTCCACCTCAACGACATGTATGCGCCCCCCGACTACGCCAGCAGTACGTACCCCTCAGCGCCTGTCCCTGGCCTAAAGTCCTGTGCACTGGTTTCAAGGGGAAGAACTTCATACTCCTTGTTAAGAGAGAGCAAGCACAGAGGCTAGTGCTCAGAAGAACTGAGTGCAGATCTCAGCTCTGTCCCTTAGAGCTGGGTGCCCTTGAGCAAGTCCCTTTCACCTGTCTTTAGTTTCCTCTTTGGCAAAAAGGAGCTAATGATATATGTGCTGCCTTCCTCATAGGACTGCTGCATGGATCAAATGAGATCATGGACGAGAAAGCCCTTGGAAAACTGTATTAGGCTATAGAGATGTGAGGGATTATTATTAGTCACACCTCTAGCCATGCCTTCTTTGTAGACTGCCTTCACTTCGGCTCTTTCTAAGACTCACAGGAGTGAGCCCAGGATTTAGAAAGGGACTGCGGAGGAGGAACCCTGGGTGGGGGTTGGATGGAGTGGGGAGGAGCGGCCTGAGGAATCTTGGTCTCTTCTGCGCCTGAAGGAGGGTGTGGGGGAAAGTCCTTGGAGGGAGTTGGGGGAGGGTACTTGCCGGGACCGTCTCTGAGCCTTTCTCTCCCTTTCTTGGTTGCAGCTTTTACTGCCTTGGCTGACAACCACATAAGCCATAACTCCAGCCTGGGTTATCTCGGGGCTGTGGAGAGCAAGGTCAGCTACCCTGCTCCTCCGCAGGTCCCCCCGACCCGCTACTCTCCTATCCCCAGGCACATGCTGGCTGAGGAGGACTTCACCAGGTAGGACCCCGCCCCATTCAGTCTAGCCAGGGATGGGGAAGGAGAGGAATCCGTTTGGGGCGGGCCACAGGCCTCCTTGTAGTGTGGCTTTGTAGTCCCGGCTTTGGGGTCTCCGGCCTTCTCTCAGCCCTTGGGGCCCTGGAGAGGGACAGAGGCGGCTGCAGGGACAAGTTCTACCATCAGGGGGAGTGCCGAATGGGCGGCCCTGATCCGACAGTGCAGATAAAGGGTGGAGTGGAGCGTTCAGGGGACTGCGAGTTTCCTGCCCCGAGGCAGTTGCAGTCCCCTCTGCTGCAGCCATTTCAAAAGAGAGAAGAAAGCAGTCCAGCTGGTGGGGTTGGCTGGACCCTGAGAGGCCGACCGGCCCGGTGGCCTCGCGGGGAACAGCCCGGCCCCACCGGCGGCGGCGGCTGCGCCGGGCGTTGGAACTGGTCGGGCCGGCTGGGGTTCCGGGGGGACAGGTTGGCGGGGTGGGGCCTGGTAGGCTGTCGGGCAGGCTGCAGTGGAACCGGAAGGGTAGGCGGACGGGGGAGAGCCAGAGGAGCCATGGAGAGGGCCCGCAAGTTCTCAGGCTCCAGCTTGGCCCTGGGCTTGGGATCGGCCTCGGCTTCGGCCTGGAGGAGGGCTTCACAAAGGTGGGCCTGGCCGCTCCGCTCCCTGCGGCCTGGAGGGGATGCCAGGTAGGAGTGGAGGGCTGTGAATGAGCAAGAGCATCTGAGACTTAGGGAGGGAGTCTTGCCCCTGAGACTGGGAGCAAGAAAAGAAGAGTATTGCTTGGGGCTTGGGACCGCTCGGATGAATGGTGCTTATAACAAGTGAAGGCAGTGGGGGAGGAGAGTGTGCTGGCAGTCTGGTTGTATGGATACACATGTGCAGCTGATTGCTCTCTCCTGATGACACTGGGACCATTTACAGAGGGGTTCCTTAGACGGGGTTGTTTTATTCAGGTTTTTCATGTGCTTGTCTCCTCTCTCCAGTCTGGCTCCTAAGCTCCCTTTGGGGTCCTGGGATTTCTTTTTTTTTTTTCTTTTTTTGAGATGGGGTCTCACTGTATTGCCCAGTCTGGTCTTCAACACCTGGGCTGAAGCGATCCTCCCACCTCAGCCTCCCCAGAAGCTGGGACTACAGGTGTGAGCCACCTCACCCAGCTCTAGGAGTTCTCTCTCTGTCTCACCTAGCAGGGTACATAGTGGTTGCTACTGACTAAATATGTTGTTGAGGAAGGTAGGAGGGGTCATAGTTGGCGGGTGGAATTTTGAGACTGCGGAGCAGCGTGTGTAAAGTAACTATGCACACCTTGTGTGGATGGTGAGTGCCTTCAACCCAAGCGTGATTTCACTGCCCCTAACTGGTTCCTCTTCTTGTGGCCCAGGGTCCATCACACCGGTTGGTAGGATAGGAGAATCTGGGAAGGAAGAAGACCAGTGATTTGGCTCTGAGATTTTGTCTCTAGAGTTCAGGGTAGGGGTTTGTTGACCTGAGAGTAGGGGACTGTCCACTGAGAAGTTGACTCTAAGCCCTCAGGAAGAAGGGAGGGAAGAGGAACTGAAACTTGGCACCTGATGGAAAACAGCAGCCAAGCAGATTTCAGGAGACAAAGGGAGAAACAGGGTGTCATACCTAGGGACCCAAGTCCTTACTCCCTACAGCCAGTATGGCTCTTGTTCCAGGCCGGCCTTCACTGGGACAACAGTTCATATCTACCTTGTCCTGACTCCTCCATTCCTTTCCCACCAGAGAGCCCCGAAAGATCATCCTGCACAAGGGATCCACAGGCCTGGGCTTCAACATCGTAGGAGGAGAGGATGGGGAGGGCATTTTTGTCTCCTTCATCCTGGCAGGAGGCCCAGCTGACCTGAGTGGGGAGCTGCGCAGGGGAGACCGGATCTTATCGGTGAGGAGACAAAGGGGAGGTGGGAGGATGGGAGCTATGCCTGTCTAAAAGGGAGGAGGGGAGACCTTGCTTCCTCCAAGCAATGCTTTTTGGGATGAGGGAAGGGCTAAGAACTGGAGAAAACTTACACTGTTTTAATAGACATCCTTAGTGAGGGACAGGGACCAGGACTAGACTTATTCTTGAGGAGGAAATGAATGTGTCTTAGATCTTAACCCTAAATTGGCATTTGACCTCTACAAAGATAATTATTACACTAGAAATGTCATATCCTTTAGGTCTTGTTTTAGGGACAAGGATGGAATACTGGGGAAGACATCTGAATGGCTTAGGGATGGGCTACCTATGTCCATCCCTCTCCTAACTGCTAGGACTGAGGACTCCCCTCCTTGCTTCTGGGGTGGCTCACAGCTTCTCTCTTTGGCCAGGTGAATGGAGTGAACCTGAGGAATGCAACTCATGAGCAGGCTGCAGCTGCTCTGAAACGGGCTGGCCAGTCAGTCACCATCGTGGCCCAGTACAGACCTGAAGGTAGGATAAGGGAAGGTGGGAAGTGATGATATGAAGGAATTTGTATTGGCTTTTTGCCATCGTAGGTAACAAAGCCACTAGACCAGGTCCCTTCTACGCTAGGGCAGTAACCTCTTCCTCTCTCATTTTCCTTCTGGACGGGGGTTGGTTTGGGTGTCTAGGAAGGCTGTGCTCAGAGCCCACTGATCAGGGCCGCAGTGCAGCGGAAGACCAGTAGTGGGCAGTAGCCTACGGGAAGAAGCGCAGAGATTAGGTGGCTAGAAAAAGGGGAGGGGGCGGAGGGCTGAGAGGCGAAGACCGGGAACTATGTGCCCTGGAAAAGAGAACAGCTCTTGGTTAGAAGGATCTCAGGGAGAAGAGATCCAGTCTCTTAAGAGATCATGAGCCAAACCTCTATGAACACCCTACTCTCCTCCCCTCATCAAGATGACCTCGAAAGACCCATAAACGCGATGAAAAGGTGATACTATGCCCTCGGGGTAGTGGAGCGCTAGTCTACCTAGTCCCCCTACGGGGGAAGGGGCCTTCTTTGTATTCTCATTGAGCAGTGCCCTGACTGGGGCGAACGGGCGGGGCTAGCTATGCAAATGAATGCGTTTGATTGGCTGGGGCCAACGCGGCCCAGGTGCCGAGGTGAGCTGCGGGAAGGCGCGCCCTAGTCCGCCGGCCGGCGGGGTGGCCATTGGCCGGCCGAGCGCGGCCTCCAGCTGCACGCCCCGCCCCTGACCCAGGCGGAGGGCGGCGGGCGCCCCTCCTTTCCCCCCTCGCGCGCCTCAGGCGTCTCCTCCTCCCCCCTCCTCCTCTCTCCTCCCCCTGCCCCTCCTCCCGCGCGCCCCGCTTTGTGTCCCTAGTCTCCCGCGCGGGACGGAGGGACTGGCCCGAGCGGGCGCTTTCTCAGCACTAGACCTGGACTCCGACCCGGCGCCAGGTGAGGTGGGGCGGACGGGGGTCAGGCCCCCTCACAGTGCCCCCCGGCCTCTCTATGGTTCTGTTCTCAGCCTTCTTTTCCAACACTGCGCCCCCAGCTCTGCCCTCCCCCCGGAATGCCTGCGCTGCGTGCCCCGGGCCTCCGCCTGAGCCCCTCCTGAGGGCCCCTCGGAGCGCCGCGCCGGGCGGAGCGCCGCTCTCCCTCCACAGGGCCCTGTCCGGTCTTCACCTCTTTGCCATCCCCTTTCCCCACCCGCGAACTGTGCCCGCTCCTCGCCCCAGGGCCTCAGTCCTGCCTGCCGCCCCCTTCCCGCGCGCTTCTGCGCCCCCAGCAGCTCCGCGTTCTCTTTCCTCAGAGGAGCTCGCGAAGTCCTCCCCTCCCCCCACGCGCGTTGCTCCGCACAACCTGGCTGCCTCCGGGAGCGCCCGGGATTGGGATTGGGCTGGTGTCCCCTGCCCCTCTCCCTTTTGTTCGCAAGGGTCTCACACTGTGCCCGGCTTCTTCCGCCTCCCCCTTCGCTTTGTAAGGCGGCCTTTGTCCCCTAGGGCTGCAGCGTCCGGGCTCCTTGGACACCTGGGTCCTGTGGGCCAGTGACTAAGGTGGAGGAAGGGGCCCTTCCCTGGCAGGTGCTCTAGTTCCGTGATGAGAAGCCGAGAGGCGGGGAGTCCTGTCGCCCTGTCGCCAAGCTGAGGGATCGAAAGCGCCTACCGCAGTCCTTTCCGCCCGCTCCCCCGTGCTTGTTCAGTGCCTCGGGAGCCTGTAGGGAAAGAGAGGGCCGGCCGCCTTTCGCCCGAGGCTTTCTTCCTGGGGGACAGAGGTGTAGCGAGGTAACTAACTGCAGAGCTCCTTGGTCTGAGGTAATGGGAAAGAGGGACGCAAATGGGCACTTCGAATCATCTCTCTCCACGTTCGGTTTCCAGCTTACTGACCGGGAACGCGCCTTGGGGTTATTGCTTTGCATGATTTATGTGTGTGCCGTTTGTTTCTCAGTATAGAGCTAACCATCTGATTTTTATTAGCAACTAATATTTATCCATTTCGTGCCCACAACTTAGACAAAAGTAGGTTCTGCAAAGGAAATGGTTTCTGTTGCGCGCGCGTGCGTGGCGGGGGGGAGAAATGATGTTTCTTTTGCTTTTGCTCTGTAATGTTGGACACACGGAAACAGTACTGTGAATTTGGTGGTGGTATGTTGGAAACTGGCGACTGCATATTCTATGACTTTTGTTGGGGGAACGCCACTGGTTTGCATAAAAAAGCTGCAAGTTGTCCAGGGTAAGGGGATTCCTGCAATGTTTATTGCTCTCTGAGTATATTTCCGAGAGTTTATAATGTAGGTTGAGGTGCTGTCTTATGTTAGGTCTTTCTAGCACTTGCTAAACAAGGCCTTTCTTCTCTTAGGATTTAGTTGAACTACTGTCGTTAAGGCTGTACCACCCCAATCTTACTTCTTTGTTTGGTTTGGTATATCCAACAGGGCCCCAACATGCAGAAGCTTTTTTTTTTTTTCATTTGAAAATGGACCCTTGGAGTCGGGTCCAGAGGGACTATTAAGCATTTCATGTTGGGCTCTGAACTTCGTTTGATAAAATACTAGTTCTTAAAAATAAGAACTCCATGTTGATCATTTTATAAATATATACAGTTCTTTGGAGTATTGCATCACGGTGGGTATTTACAAAATGCATAATCCAAGTATATGTCTGTCGGCAAAAATGGCAGAGACTTTGCATGTTATTGGCCAGGTAAGTGTTCATTATTTGGATATTTTTCACTTAGAATGTGAAAGCTGGAAAAGATCATGTAGACCCCTTATTGTGCATACTAGAACAATGGTAGGAGAGCCAGGATATGACTTGCCTAAGGTCATGATGGGAAAGTTGCATAGGGTCAGCAATCAATCAGTTTAATCCTGAGGTCTGCCAGTTGTGACAAACCATGCTTCTGAACACCCGAGAGACCTAAGACCTAGTCAAGAGTGGAGGAGCAACAGGAAAGGGACTGGGGAAATAACAGATGCTATAAAGAGTGAGGGAAAGATGTATGTGGAAAGGAAGGTTGGAGTGATCTCCATGGTGGCCACTGAGGCACCGTTGCCAAACCAGTGCAGCCTTTAGCTAGATAGCCTTTAGCATGAGAGCTTAAAATATAGCTTTGATTAATTAGAACAGAAAACAATTTTTCTTCTTTTTTAAAAGGCGTTAATGAGATATGAGTCCTTTGCCATACAATTCCCCCATTTAGGTATATAATTCAATGGCTTTTAGGCACAGAGTCGTGCCTCTAACACCACGGTATCTTTTAGAACATTTTCATTACTCCTCTCCTTTTAATACGTAGAGAGGGCACAAGCATTGGAAGGGTGATAGGTTTAGGGCAGTTGCTTCCTAATGTATCTCCCCTGGACACTGGCTGGATGGCAACTTGGGAATACTCTAACCTTGAGATTCTTTCATATATCCAGTTTGCTTAATGTGGGTTAAATTCATAATGAAGTATAGGAACCACATCTTTCTATTGTGCCTACCATGGATGCTTTACAGGTGTTTTTGTGATGAAGATTTGGAAAATATTAAAAAGAAGTGCCAAATGATAAGGTACCACAGTGAGAGATCCTGTTTAATATTTTCACTCCTGATTGCTCCAAACTGTTGTGGACACAGCAATCCTACCTATTAGCTAAAAATAGCACGATGTTCTTGGGCATGTATAATCCTGCTTAAAATTCAAATTGAAAATTTAAACAACTGGCTCTTGGCAAAGCCTCTCTTCCAATCTATTCTAAAATGAAAAATATTTTTCTGTGACTTGTGGCATTGCTCCACCAAGGGAATGATAACATTTTGAGATCTCGTACATTTTCCCCATAGTTACTTTGTGTCAGCCTCTGGTTATAAACCAAGCTGGTATTTTTCTGGAAAGCCCTTTTGTTTTTAGAGTAGAACCTGATTTCAAAATCAGGAGGTGAGCCAGAAATTTGTCACTAAGGTGGCTAAAGTGAGAACTGATCCTTTGTGACCAGTCTTCAACTGGAATGTAAATCCAGACAGACTGGGGATATGGGGAGTGAGAGAGAATGAGAGTTTTTCCATAACTTATTTTAAGGTGCCGAATAAGCATATTTTCACCAGGGAAACACCTTCCAGTAAGATCTGGAAGAGTTAGGGATCAGTGTTGACAATAACTTGAAAGCATAAAAGGGATATTTTCCTCATAACATTTACATAACCATCCCATCTCCTCCTGTTTAAGAAGGAAGGAGGTAAACATAACTGCTATCCTATCAGCATGATCTCTCTTGAGAACAGAGGTGAAAGTATACCAAGGCAAAGAATCAAAGTTCTGAAACTTTGCCACCCTGAAAGAAGGCTATGGTAAGGAAGAAAGAAAATGAATTCCTATAAACAGCATTTCTACACTGTGAACAAACTGAAGGCAGCTAGTATTGTATTTATCTTTGTGTTCCCAGCATCTAGTTGGAGCCTGGCACATGGCTTGTTGAATTGAATTATTGAGTATCTCTATGTTCAGATACTTCTGTTAAGCATTAATCTTCAGGATATCCCTGTGGGATAGGTGGTATTATCCCCATTTTACAGATGATGAAAATGATGGTCAGAGAGGTTGAGTGACTTACTCAGGGTCACATAACCAGCGAGGGGCAGAATAAAAGTTTGAAATCAGATTTCCTGAGAACTTTGGGTCTAAGGCTTTTGCCACTAGGCCACAACTATCTCTCACTATGGTGGCAAACCGTGAGCTCCCTCCTCCTCCCCAGATACATCTGGACACAGTAGAGGATACCATTCTGAGACTCTTCAGGTGCCAGAAACTGTTAACAAATGGAGTAAAACCAACTCCCAAATCTCAGCTTTTTAGTCTTAATGGCCACAAGCTCCTTCCTCAAAGGAAGAAGTAACCTGGGGATGGAAGGGCCGCTGGGAAGCCTGAGGGAGATCCCTTCTCCTGCAGAAGGAAAGTGGACTTAGGAAGATTACTAGGGAATGATATTGTGGGGGGAAACTTAGGAGGAGCCAAAAGGTGGGAGTTGGCTTGAGTGACTTAATAGTGT